ATAGACTATACTATAGACTAGACTATAGACTAGACTATAGACTAGACTAGACTATAGACTATACTATAGACTAGACTATAGACTGGACTATAGACTAGACTATAGACTAGACTATAGACTGGACTATAGACTAGACTATAGACTAGACTATAGACTGGACTATAGACTAGACTATAGACTAGACTATAGACTGGACTATAGACTATAGACTGGTCTATTGTCAATTATGTGGACTACTTATCAAAAGTTTATAAGTTTGGAAAAAGTGCCGAAAATGTGGTGGGGGTATCGCAAAAGGCCAGACTAAAATCAAGGCTATATTTCAGACTTTATTCAAGGTTATATTCTAGACTATAATCTATGTTATATTTCTGAATATAGGCTAAGTTATAGTCCAGAATATAAACTATAAAGTACAGTCCATATATACAGTCCACACGTTAGTCGAAAATATATTCAAGACTATAGCCCAGTCTACATATAGTTCAAGTTTTACACGTGTAAAATGGAAAGCATTAATTCGATGGTTTAACATTTATTATTTTTGACCAAAAAGTAAAATTTGCCCTCATCATAGTCGTGTACTCTCTTTAATATATTAAAACTAGCGCAACCCAGCAAGGCAACAGGTGTATTTGTCATCAGATATTTAAGCACCCATAAAGGGAATTGTTCATTATTATACAAATAAACTAACAAAAATAAATTGCTGATTAATAAAAGCACAAAACCAAGCAAAAAAAAAAAAATAAATACTACCCACTTTATTACAAACGTAACTATGAATACAATAAATAAAACGTATTTATCAGATTATTGTTATCGCTGGCCAAGTTTCCAAGCTAAAATGAGAAAACAAAAACTACAATAACATTGCAAATAATAGAACGGAAGTGTACAGATTTCAAGCGGCTGGCTGGCAGCCGTAGACAAATTAGGAAACCTAAATTTAAACAATAAAATTACAAACTCTCTCTCTCTTTCACACCTTTACTCTTACTTGCTGTTGTGCTCGCCATAAGTAGCTCTTTGCCACCTAGTTGTCTGAATTATTAATAAGGTGTGTCTTGTTGCTTAATGGATATTTCATTAACCATTTCAGTGTCAATTCAGTTACAAAGTTGCAATTCGAACTGAATTTTTGCGTAAAAATAAAATTTTTATTTGTTTTTATAACTTCAACCAACACCTGTTGGTATTGCCTTTTAAAACGCCTGAAAAGCCATTGTTATTTTGTATTTTATATATAAAAAAAAGTTCACTTCGATTTTTTTTTTATTAATTTATGCAAAATTATTAAGATTTTTATTTCAAATATTACAGAAACAAAAAGTTCATAAGCAAATGTACATTTAAAATCTGATGTAATTTTAACACCCGATTACATGCTGTTTACACTCGTTTTATTGAATTGTTGCGTAAAGATTTTGTCTTAAAGAATGAATTGGAAAAAATAATATAAATAATAATTTCTTGTTTTTCCAGATCGGTGTTTTTTTCTTTTTTTGTTATACACTCTCTGTCTTTATATTGTTTTAATAAAATCGTATTTGTTTTGTAATAACTGCCAGATATGTTAATTAGTTTTCCGAGCTGCAATGGAACTATTACGCTGATGTCTTGCCTGTCAGGGATTTCATCAGAAATCTTATGAAATCCCTTCTAAACGTTTCTATAGTTTTTCTATTTCTAGAGAATTATGCAAGAATGAAAGAATGTTTGAGGTTTATATAGATTTAAATATTAATTTCTAAAATCGCAATTTGAAAATTTTCAGAAAACAGATGGTTACTTTGTATTTAAGTTTGAATATTAAGAATAGATGTTCTCCTTAAGAACTGTTTATCAAAATATTACTGCTGGCTGCAGATCTGTTATCGTTTAAATATAACTATTTTATTTTATATCCCTCTCTTATAGACGTCAGATGACTAGGTTTGAAAACGGATCGCGATGTTTATATAGGTCAATCCTAGGGTAAAATTTAGTCTTGAGGACAGCTTTAACGCTTTTGATTGTTAAAGTAATAAGGTACAGCTTCTCTTAAGTTGCAGCTTTTCTCAAGTTATAGCTTCGCTTAAGTTTCAAGGAGATTTGATGCAAGGTTTCGGTAATTAGAAAAGATTCTTAAAGTTAGCTAGTTAGTTAGTTAGTTAGTTAGTTAGTTAGTTAGTTAGTTAGGTTAGTTAGTTAGTTAGTTAGTTAGTTAGTTAGTTAGTAGTTAGTTAGTTAGTTAGTTAGTTAGTTAGTTAGTTAGTTAGTTAGTAGTTAGTTAGTTAGTTAGTTAGTTAGTTAGTTAGTTAGTTAGTTAGTTAGTTAGTAGTTAGTTAGTTAGTTAGTTAGTTAGTTAGTTAGTTAGTTAGTTAGTTAGTTAGTTAGTTAGTTAGTTAGTTAGTTAGTTAGTTAGTTAGTTAGTTAGTAGTTAGTTAGTTAGTTAGTTAGTTAGTTAGTTAGTTAGTTAGTTAGTTAGTTAGTTAGTTAGTTAGTTAGTTAGTTAGTAGTTAGTTAGTAGTTAGTTAGTTAGTTAGTTAGTTAGTTAGTTAGTTAGTTAGTTAGTAGTTAGTTAGTTAGTTAGTTAGTTAGTTAGTTAGTTAGGTTAGTTAGTTAGTTAGTTAGTTAGTTAGTTAGTTAGTTAGTTAGTTAGTTAGTTAGTTAGTTAGTTAGTTAGTTAGTTAGTTAGTTAGTTAGTTAGTTAGTTAGTAGTTAGTTAGTTAGTTAGTTAGTTAGTTAGTTAGTAGTTAGTTAGTTAGTTAGTTAGTTAGTAGTTAGTTAGTTAGTTAGTTAGTTAGTTAGTTAGTAGTAGTTAGTTAGTTAGTTAGTTAGTTAGTTAGTAGTTAGTTAGTTAGTTAGTTAGTTAGTTAGTTAGTTAGTTAGTTAGTTAGTTAGTTAGTTAGTTAGTTAGTTAGTTAGTTAGTTAGTTAGTTAGTTAGTTAGTTAGTTAGTTAGTTAGTAGTTAGTTAGTTAGTTAGTTAGTTAGTTAGTTAGTTAGTTAGTTAGTTAGTTAGTTAGTTAGTTAGTTAGTTAGTTAGTTAGTTAGTTAGTTAGTTAGTTAGTTAGTTAGTTAGTTAGTTAGTTAGTTAGTTAGTTAGTTAGTTAGTTAGTTAGTTAGTTAGTTAGTTAGTTAGTTAGTTAGTTAGTTAGTTAGTTAGTTAGTTAGTTAGTAGTTAGTTAGTTAGTAGTTAGTTAGTTAGTTAGTTAGTTAGTTAGTTAGTTAGTTAGTTAGTTAGTTAGTTAGTTAGTTAGTTAGTTAGTTAGTAGTTAGTTAGTTAGTTAGTTAGTTAGTTAGTAGTTAGTTAGTTAGTTAGTTAGTTAGTTAGTTAGTTAGTTAGTTAGTTAGTTAGTTAGTTAGTTAGTTAGTTAGTTAGTTAGTTAGTTAGTTAGTTAGTTAGTTAGTTAGTTAGTAGTTAGTTAGTTAGTTAGTTAGTTAGTTAGTAGTTAGTTAGTAGTTAGTTAGTTAGTAGTTAGTTAGTTAGTTAGTAGTTAGTTAGTTAGTTAGTTAGTTAGTTAGTTAGTTAGTAGTTAGTTAGTTAGTTAGTTAGTTAGTTAGTTAGTTAGTTAGTTAGTTAGTTAGTTAGTTAGTTAGTTAGTTAGGATGTGTATACATCAAACCCGAAGAAATACACCTTGGGCTCTACCGGTCCTGTTGTGCGTTCCTTAACCAGTGCCTCAGGTGGAAATCGAACCCACCACCTCCGGTCTACCAGACTATAACACCAACCACTTACCTACCTGAGGCCTACTAGACAGGGAGTTAAGCAGTAAAGGATTTTTATTGGGTAATGTTAGTTCAATGAAAAATTCAAAAGTAAAGCTTTATTTACAGAATAAACACTTTGTGTTTTTTTTAAGCTCTTGTTTTTCTTCATTGCAAGTTCAAACTGTAGGCTAAGTTTTCGCTATTTTACAGTATAGTTTAACTAACAATTCTCTAACTTCGGATCCTTTGCCCTTGTTTGATTCCAATTGTTTTAGCATTTCCTTTCACGAGAATATAGCCACTAAAGTCAAGAGAAATAATTAAGAAACTTTCTTTGTATCGTCTTCAAGTTTGTAGAAGCTAGATATGCTCTAAATCATTTTTTGCCATATGTAGATCAATTTCACGAAAAATTACATTACAGCTAACCATGGTAACAGCTCAACAAGAATCAGGTTTTCTGAACATGTAAAAGTGCGTCAGCAAAGTTATGCGTAAAATCATCTCTTTAGTTCAGAAACCTTATAATGGATAAATATTTTAAAAGGTTAACTTTACATTTCTAATCAACTATGCATGTTTTATTTTATATTAAAACAATCAATATTGCATAAAACAATAGATTTTGTTTAATTTATTAAATATATAAAAAAACCAAAACACTTTCAATTTAATTTGCATTTTTCATGTTATTTTCTTAATAAACCGGCCTTTAAAGCAAATATTTTTTAGCGGCTCATCAGTGTCTAGTATAGATATTTTATTAGAAATATTTAATAACAAAACCATAAAAATTTGTGAATAATTTTTGAATATATATATATATTTTTTTTTTTTTTTGTTTAAAAATATTTTGAAAAAATTATCACCTGCTAATTAGAATATTTACCCCATATGGTGGTATCGCATTGACGTAGTATTTCTTTAAATGGAAAAAAATTTATAAAAAAAAATACACACATTTCAACAGCTGTTGAAATACCGCTGATAGGAGTATATTTCACCCACAAAAGATTGAAGTCAAGCACAACGTACCCAGTAGCTTTATCAGTTTAGGCACAAGCTGGAAGCTTGAAGACAGCAATATCAGCACAATACACACACACACACACAAAGATGTGGTTGATTATAGCGCATGGTCTAGTATGTGTTACTCAGTCATTTTAACCCCACAACCCATACAACAAGATCAATGACAATAAGTCTGTCTGTCCTGCTGACTGGCAGAATGTTTTAAAAGATAAGCAATGAAATAACACAAAATTGCCGGCTAAATATTAAAAATAAAACAATTGTTAATTTAAATTTTCACAAAAATGTTAAACACTTTTTTAAAAAAGTGTTTGAATTTTTTTAAATTTTATTTTTTTCAAAATTTTCTGGCTCCTTTTCTTATGGCACTTTAATAATAAAGACTTAAATAACTAAAACAATGAGATTACAATTAAATTATAAACAATATACAGTAAATTTTTTTTCAGAAATTTTTTTGCTTTTATATTAATTTTAAATTTACAAATATAATTTTTTTTGTAATTTCTGTTTTTTTTTTTTTTAAATTTAAAAAGAATTTGTACATGTTGTTGTTTTAATTAATAAATTTTCAAAATTATTGTCATATAATTTATTACAAAATTTGTTTTTGTTTTTCATATATTAATTTACAATTTATTGTCTTTTTTTTTGAAAAAGCTTTAATTGGAATGAAAGCTTTTTTTTTAATTTAACAGTGGGTTAGTTTTATTTTAAATTTAAGTATTTTTTTTACAAATTGTTTGTTTAAAGCAACATCACATTTAAGAAATGATTTAATATCATATAGTTTATTATTTTGTTTTAAACTTACAAACGTATAAGGAAAGCTTTAATAAAGAAAGCTTAAAGAATGATTAACTTATGAAATAATGACTGTAAATAGCTTAAAAGCTATTCAACAATGTTGTAATTAAAGCCTTAACGAAGTTGTGTTTTTTTATAAAAAAATTAGTTTTAAAACTTTTGGGAAATGTTTAAAGCTTTGAAGCTTCATTAGTTATCTTAAAGTTTTTTTTTAAACATTTTCCAAAAGCTTAAATTTTTAAACTAAATTTATATAAATTATTATTTTAAAGTGTTCATCAGTCCTTAAAGAGTTTTTTATTTTATTTATGTTTAAATTTATTTCTCATCTTCCTTCTTCTTGCGTATTTTACCCTCCGTTTGTATGGTAGCGGTAACGGCCTCAAAACAGGAAGCTATTGAGGGCTCAGACTCATCTTGACTATAATCATAACCAGCCATTCTGGACAAAGTCAAAATATAGGAACAGGCCACTCTTAACACGGAAAGCTTTGAAAGCTTTTGATTATTCGAATAGGAGGGTACAGCTTTTCTTAAGGTTTCATAGGCCGCCGAGATGGTATGTACTCTTGAACGTTCACGGGCATTGGCCTCTATGCGTCTTTCCCGGGTCATATTTTTATAGTTACGCTGTTGGGGTTTCGAGGAGTTTTTCTGTGAGCCTGAGGTATTTAGAGAAGATTCTTCATGGGAGGAGGTTAAGGAGAGAGCTGGTGGTGGTACTAGGGTTACCGAAGCCTGTTCCGTACTACAGCTATTACTGCTGGCATTCTTCTTGGGTGGTGTTTGTTCTATAGACGATTCGCGGGTAAATCTTTTTTTAGGCGTTAAACCCTTAGATGTAGAGGTTTCCTTACAGCTTTCCGAATCCGTTACGGGTTTCTTTAAGACTAAAGCCAAGGGTTCTTGTTGTTCCTCGCTTTGATGTTCATTTTCCAAAGGCAGTCTATGCAGAGTGGTAACACCAGGATGTCTTACAAATACCTGGGCCGGATTTGGCATCATTTCATGAGGTAATATCTGACTAGGATCCCATAGTTGTGGTGGTGGTGAGGTTACTGTTACCGCTGGCGGTGTTAAGACAACACCCGAATCGGTATTCGAGGAATAACGTATGCGTTTCTTAAGCGGTCCATTCGATTGAGAAGCGGTAGATTTTTCCTCCACTACCTTAGAAGGCTCTGAACTTTTGCGTTTATTGCGCACCAAAGATATAGGGGTGACTTTAACTTCCACTGAGTCTTCAGAATTATCCGTAGGACTACTGGGTTCCATGCGTAAATTATCACTAAAATAATCATCACCACCTTCTGAACTGCCCGAACAAAAACCAGCATCGCGATCATTGGAATGGGGTGAACCTAAAATGGAATAATTCAAAAACAAATTAATAATTTGTGGTTAAAATTTTAAATTAACATAATTTTTTTTTTTCAAATATTTATTGCAAAATAATACAAAGAGAGTGAGCTAATGTTGTAGCTAATTTCCTATTCGTTTTGACTTAACCTTAACTTACTTTTTAGTTTTTATGCTAAATCTGTGTTTGAGACTTTCTATGTCAAGTTGGTTAAAATATTTCAGAAAAAAAAATTCCCCAGATTATTGTTTTCAATCCGCCTACGCTATTTTTTAAAGAGGTTGAACCAGTTTAAGTTGATAATAGATTTAAAAAGGTTTTTGCTATACCATGATTATGTGATTATTTTTTTTTTAAGATTTTGTTTTGTTGTCGGTATGTTTTAGTTAATAAATTATTTGTTTTTTATAGGAAAAAAAAAATATGCAAAAATTTTAACATTAACCTGTTAAGCAAGATTTCAACAAGTGATAAATCTTTAAATTATTACAGGATTTTTTAACTCTTTTTAAGCTGGTTTTATGACCCCTTTTCTTCGTTTGATTTTTTGCAAAGTTTTCAAAGGAAATTTGTTTTTTTGTATACAACTTGTTGTGGTTGTTTGTTAAATATGTACTTTTTATAATAAATTTGTATTATCATTTTTCCTGCAAAAAAAATGTATATAAATTTCAAGTTCAACAAAGCCATTAAACTTGTTAACCTTAAAAAAAAATTGAAACACTCACATTTAGTTTGTTAAAAAAAAAATTTATAAAATTTAAAATTTTGCCGCCAGGTTTTCATCTGCAAAAAAAAAACGAACTCAACCGCCATAATATTGCGCTTGCAGTTCAAAAAACATTTGTATTGTTTTTTACCTGTCGACACAGTTTCATTGTGGTGGTTATGGGAGAAATATCAAAAACCCCAACAGTTTTGAAGGAGGACAATGTAAACCTCGATGACTAGAATTGAAAAATGTTGAAAAAATTTCCCTAATGTACTCTTTGTAATACACAGAGAAAGTCATTGTTTACTTTAGTATCCCTAAGTAATGCACATGGTAATCAATTGTCACTTTAGTGTTGCAAAGTAAACTAAAAAGTTTTTAATGTGGACCATGTAAACCTCGGCGACTCGAATTAAAAAATGTTGAAACAATTTCCCCAATGTACTCTTTGTAATGCACAAAGAAAGTCATTGATTATTTTATTATCCCGAAGTAATGCACCTGGTAATCAATTGTCACTTTAGTGTTGCAAAGTAAACTTAAAAGTTTACAAATTAAATCCTGTAAAGTTATTTAAACTATTTAATCCCATTTTCACCACCTCCAGTTATCGTTTAACTGGTAGTTATTCTTTCAGTTAAGACAATGTTTGTATGAGAACTGTCAATATATCTTAAAGTTAAATTGTAACTGAACTTGGTGAAAATGGGGGTTAAAGTAATTTGCTGTCGATTTATTTAACCATTTGTAATGAAAGTGATGAGTAAGATGGTAATAGGCCCTTAAAACTGCCGGGCTTTTACAAACATCATTAAAATCGTATTAAGTAAGGAATGAAAACATACAACAAGTGTTTTTTTTTTAAGAAATTTCATGGATTTGCTGGGATTTTCAAGTTTTTTATGGATTGAAACCGGAAATACAGTTTAATTAAAAAGGTTAATTGGATTTTAATTGAAAAAAAGAGGCATAGCTGCTCAATGTTACAAAAATAATACAAATTTACTAAGTAGAAACTAAAGTTATGAAGATTTTTGATAAAGTTAGCCAAAAGCAATGGAAATTTTTAATAAAATCTATAAAATTTTTAAAATTGATATGGAAGTAATAGAAGTTTTTAATAGAAACAATTAAATTTACAAACTAGAAACTATAGTGAAGTAATTTTTTAATTAAAGCAAACAAATTTACAAAGAAAAAAGAAATGTAATGTAAATGTGTAATAAAATCAATTAAATTTGAAACTAAGGCAATGAAAATGTTTAATAAAATTAATCAAATTTTTACAGTACAAATCAAGGTGAAGTAAATTTTAATAAAATCAATTAAATTTGTTAATAAGAAAGCCAAATAATGTAAAAGTTTAATAGAATCAATCAAATGTACAAAGTTGAAAGCAAAGTAATGTAAATTTTTAATAAAATCAATTAAATTTATAAAAGAGAAACTAAAATGATGTAAAATTTTAATAGAATCAATCAAAGCTAAAGTAATTTTTAATAGAATCCGTTAAATTTTGATAGTAGAAACTAAAGTAATGTTAGTTTTTATTTAAATCAATTAAATTTCTAAAGTAGAAACCCAAATAATACAAATGTTTAATAGAATCAATCAAATGTCCTAATTGGAAACCAAAGTAATGTAAGTTTTTAATAAAATCAATTAAATTTACAAAATAGAAACTAAAACAATGTAAAATTTTAATAGAATCATTCTCAGCTAAAGTAATGTAAATTGTTAATCAAATCAATCAATTTAGAAACTAAAGTAATGTAAGTTTTTAATCAAATCAATTAAATAACAAAGTTGAAACTCAATTAATTAAAATGTTTAATAAAATCAATCAAATTTACTAAGTAGCCAGCCAAGTAATGTAAATTTTTAATTAAATCAAACAAATTTATCAATACCAAATAATGTAAATGTTTAATAGAATCAATGAAATGTCCTAATTGGAAACCAAAGTAATGTAAGTGTTTAATAAAACCAATTAACTTTACAAAATAGAAACTAAAGTAAAGTAAAATTTTAATAGAATCATTCTAAGCTAAAGTAATGTAAATTTTCAATGAAATTAGAAACTAAAGTGATGTAAATTTTTAATCAAATCGATTAAATAATAAAGTTGAAACTAAAGTAATAAATTTGTTTAATAAAATCAATCAAATTTACTAAGTAGCAAGCAAAGTAATGTAAATTTTTAATCATATCAATCAAATTTATCAAGTAGTAACCCATGTTATGTAATTTTTTATTAAAATCAATGTAAAACAAATTTTATTGTCAAAAAATTCCAAATATTATTGAAAAGTACCTATTCTCCTTAATTCCTAATCCAGTCACCTTATCTTAACTGTTTTAGATTTCTGCTTAATTTTTGATTTCTATCACTCATTTGGTATAATTTTCCGTTAAAAAAAACATGTATCTATAATTTATGAGTTCTAATTTTTTAAAGAAACTTAACATCCTGCTTAGAATCCCAGAGATTAAATTAAAAAAAAAACTTATCAGATAAACACACTTATTTTCTCACTTGACCTTTTTTCTTTCTTTCATTCTAACCCTTATCAGTTATTATTTTATAGAGAAAATAATCTCTAATTCGTACATTGTTTTCAGTTAACACCTGTAAAGGATCAAGTCACGTAACGGTGGAAGTTCAAATACATACAGTTTCATAAATAAAATATGATGTGAAAATAATCACTTGTTGTCACTTTGGTAACAGTTGAGATGAAAACGAGTGATAACTGAAAAGATGAGGTAACTGGGGTTACGGCATTATTGTTTTCCTTTATTGTTGTTGTTGTTGTTCGATTACATTGAAATCAAAGTTGAATTATATAAAATAAAGAAGAGAAAAAAAAAACAACCCCTATAGAATGTAACAATTTTTCATTTTTGTAAAGAAAAGGCAGCTGTTTTCTGTTCAAAATAGATTTAATGCTAGAATTAAGTGTGGAAATTGATTTCTTTTGAAGAAATTTGTTAAGACAAGTGTTTTGTTATATTACATAAGATTTGTTTAATCACCTGTGATTATTAACGCTACCTGTTGCAGTTTGTTAGTCAAATATTTTTCTAATTTAAGTGTTTTTGTTTCTTATTTCAAAAATTTTCTTTTTTTTTTAGGTAAAAGTCCAATTGTTTCTTTTTCAAAATTTAATTTTAATTATTACTTTTTTTTGGATTTCTTGACTAAAGGTTATCTTGTAGTAGGAGACGTGGTTCAGACATGTGTCTTAAGTTTTTTTTTTCTATATTTCGTTTTATTTATAATCTCTAACTATTTTAAACTATTCATTTGTTCATGATCTTTTGTAGTAAAAAAATGATCATGTTTAATACGCATTTTATTTTTATATATTTTAAAACTCTTATCAGTTGTGAAAAAAAAAGAAATGTAAATACACGTTTTAAATTTTTATGAATGAAATCTTAAAATAGAGAGATAGTAGAAAAGGCAAACATGCTTTTTGTTCAGTTCAAATTAACCCTTTAAAACCCCAGAGCATTTGCTTTAATTCTTATGATCTTGTCTTTAAGACTAAAAACTTTATAGCTGAGACCACAACCTTGTTTATGCACTCTCTCTTTCTTCTCTACCCAAGACAATCATGTTGCTAGTTGTTAATCATTACACATATGGAGCTAAAAACGATCGAAATTTGTTTCATATCCATTTCAATTCTATGGAAATTGCGATCACTTTCGAAATTCTTTTAAATGAATCTTACAATAGTAACAATGTAAATAAAATGGGCAAATATGGTTTTTCAGTTTAAATTAACCCTTTAAAAGCAAAAGAAATTGCTGTTATTATTATGATCTTGTGTTAGTTTAAGACTAAACCCTTTATAGCTAAGATTACAACCTTGTTTATGCTCTCTCTATCTCTCTCTTCTCTCTACCCAAGACAATCATGTTTCTAGTTGTTAATCATTAAAAGTTGTTAATCCTTAAACTTCTGGAACCAAAAACTCTTTTCAATTCTATAGAGATTGTGATCACTTTCGAAATTGCTTTTAATGAATCTTAAAACAGCGAGATAATGAATAGACAAACATGGTTTTTCAGTTCAAATTAACCCTTTAAAAACCAAGATAAATTGCTTATTATTCTTATGATCTTGTCTTTATTTAAGACTAAAACCTTTATAGCTAAGACTACATTAAAATATCATTAAAAATTGTTAATGATCTGCTTAAGTATAAATAACTTTATAGCTAAGACAACAACCCGATTAATATGCGCTCACTCTCTCTCTATCTACCCAAGATAACAAT